TAAATAGAAAGAATAATTGCAACTAATATATATAGAAAAAATGAGCCAGGCATGGTGGCACATGCCTGTAGTCCCAGCTACTCGGGAGGCTGAGGCAGGAGGATTGCTTGAGCCCAGGAGTATGAGGTTGCTGTGAGCAAGGCTGATGCCACGGCACTCACTCTAGCCTGGGCAACAAAGTGAGACTCTGTCTCAAAACAACAACAACAACAACAAAAAAAACAAATAAAAAAACCTCAGCAAAACCCTCTACTTATTGTAATGGAAACCAGCAGAGAAAAAAAACTTGTGCAGGTTTTGTGATAACACGGCCACTCCCCAAAATGAAAAATGCTCACAGTATCTTAGGACACAGGAGATAACTAAACACCTATCCTATATCACATGTTTCATATCAATAAAGAAGCAGAAAGGCCCTCCCTAAATCAGGTGTCAGACCCGAAAAGAAACATGACATGGAAGCCTGTTCCTGGTCCCTCTCCAATCATCGACTGTTCAGAGTTCTCTCATCCTTGGTTGTGGAATCTCTCCAGCTTGCTCCTAGAAGGGAAGTAATAATCTGCTTTTACTTACTTATTTATTTTTTGGAAGTGCCTTAAAGGAAACTGAAAACACATGCAAATGGCTAATTCCTACTGAGACTAAAATGCCATTTCCATAGTTTATTAAGCATGATAAGATCATACTGGTTTTATTTTTAATTCATTTGAAGAGAAATTTTTATTAGCCCTCCCTCGCACCTTCTCTCTTTCTCTCTCTCTCTCTCTCTCTTTCTCTCTCTCTCTCTCTCACACACACACACACACTCTCTCTCTCTTTCTTTTTTAGGTCCATGGATATCTCTATTAGTTCATTATTACAGGAATGAAGTAGTACAAATATGACTCACAGCCAAATTAAAGACTTAAATTTGTAGATACAAAAAATAAGTACAAGAATGATTCTTTTTAAATGGGGTCTCCCCATGTCCTGTTCTCTCCTGCACAGAGCAGAGCATCTGTGCATGTGTTCCCAAGCAAGTGAGACATGTAAAATTTAAATAAAGCATTCAACCGACTCTAGCAATCACACATAAAGCTTGTTTAAAGCTGATATTTCTGTGTAATGCTTATGAATCTACTCAAACAGGGATGAGCTGCCAGCCAAACAAGACTGAGCTGGTGGATTCTGCCCTACAGGCCACAGAATCTTCAGCTGGGAACGCACAGCACCATGCCCCCGCCACCTCTCTACCTTACAGAGGACCTCCAGCTTCCGATGTGATTTACCAGTAAGTTTGCCACATGCCAATTTCATTAAGCTTTCTGAAATATCAAGCCATGCTGTCTGCTTTATGTTGTTGTTGTTGTTTTGGTTTTGTTTTCCCTTGTTGAACTAGAAGGCAAATGTTCACCATTTTTCTGTATGTTATACTGTTTTAGATGGTGAAGCTTATGTTCAAGGTGACCTTAAATTTTCCAGATGAAAAAATGAAAGCAACACTCCCCTGATGTTCAACAATCCCAGTTTAATGACCTCTCTATTCTGTCTTCTCCCACGGGGTGAAAGCGCCTATAAAGATGAGTGTGGTCACCACGTGGCATTCGCAATGGGGTGGTTATGTTTCAGACTTGGAGACATTGGTTTTTCTTTTCTTTCACCTCCCCCTGGAAATGGAGATCATTCATTACCATCTGTTCAAAAACCTGAGAGGTTGTAAAATGTTGGAAATTTAGATTAGTGTGCAAGAAACTTATAAAGGGGCAAGACAAGCAGCCATTCAGCTGCCTAGCCATCTCCCACCTGGCGGCCACTTGAACATGGCATCAGACACCTTTCTTTCCACAGAGAAAGAAACCCTTCCTTGCTCCTGGGCCATTGGTTCTGGTGCTCCAAAGCTTAGCTGTGTAGCTATAGCAGATGACATGGGGCACCAGATGTTTTCCACTTTGGGAATTTACAAAGCGAAGGCAGAGCTCACAAACGAAGTATGTTTAAGAGCATTGCAACTCAAGGATACTGTGCTTCGAAGGAAACACTGGAATGACGTGTCAGCAAAGTGAGGCAGAAAGACTTCACATCATGTGTTATAAATGTTCTCTAAAATAAAAATAATTTTTCACCCCTCCATGTTCTACCTTGGAGGTCATATTCTCCTTCTCACTCAGATAAGTGTGATTTTTAAAAATAAGAAATAAGATATTGCTCTTAGGGACAGCATCTAGTAGCATAAAATGCTACAGGCTCCAGAGTCAGACATAGCTAAATTCAAATTGCTACTCTGCTTATGCTATATTCTATCTCTGCTCTTGGGCTGCTATATCAATCTTTTCTACTCCCTCTTTTCTCCTCTGTAACATTGGTAGAGCAGTAACTAGGAGGTTAGTTATGAGGAGAAAATGAGCTAAATTAAATAAAAAGTTCCTTCTATAGCACCTGTCATTTTAGTAGGTGCTCAATAAATGTTAACTCTCCACCTACATGAACAAGTCATTTTTCTTTTTATTGCTTTTTTTGCATTAAAACTTCTGTTTTAATTGCAACTTGGAGGCTTTCTGTACCTAAAATTAGGCAAGAGTACACATCCTTTGTCTCATTCCCAGAATTCCATGCTCTTTCCAGGGCATCTAACTATAGCAGAGGTCTGAAGCTAGGACACTCTCCCAAGGAGAGATTAAACACTACATCCATTATGGCAGCTGGAAGGCTGCATTATTGCTCTTCCAAGAGGGAGAGATTTATGGCTGTACTTAATGAATGCTAATAGTTTTCTTATCAGTGGGTAGCAACACAAACAATTTTGTGCATGGTAAGGTTAAAGTAAACCTTCAGAGGAGCCTTACAAAACTTGAAAGCTAGTGATTAGTTCTTGACAAGCCTGGCTAATAACAGTAGCTCCTGGAAAGCTATATAGGTCTGGCTTAGCCAGAAAACATTATTCTTTAGTGTTTTACGATTTCACATCTGTCCTCTCAGAACTGGGCTGTCACAAAAATGCATGCGGCTTTGGTGCTTTTCTTAAACCTCTAGGCAGTTGTACTCTTAAACCAATGTAATCTGGTTGTTGAGTAAAGGAAAGCCAAAACCCTTTATTCATCGGTTAGAAAAAAAAAATTCATAAAACTAAATTTGCTTTGCAAATAGATTCAGATTCAACAAATATTTACTGAGCAACCACGTTTTATGGAAAACGTTTCACTTTTTCACACATACATGCCATTTAATCCTTACAGTATCCTTTGTAATCTTTGGCTCCCAAGGAAACTGAAACTTCAAGAGTGTGTATGAGTCCAAGGTCACATTTACAAACATACAACTGACTCCAGGTCCAGTGCATTTGGCCCAGCGTGTTCATGGTACATTTCAGGAACAGTCAGCCTGCTCTTCTGAGATATCCATCAGAGGGACAAGGTCAAATGAGGCCAGGGAGCTCAAATTTAAACATTTCTAGGAGTGACTGTTCCTAAAATGAAAGAGTGCATGACTCAAAGCTAGAAATGAGTATTTTTATGTTGATAAACAATAAAGTCACATCGATCAATTTACACAAATTGTATACTGAGGTAAATTTTAAATACTGGTCTCTAAAACAATGTTGTACTAATAGAAAATCAACAAAATAATTGCATTTAGTAGCTTCGGTCTTGCTCAGCCTCTCTGACATCTCCTACAGTGGTTATATTTTATGTCAAAAAGCCCATTACTCCAAAAATCACCCTAATTCACTGCGAATTCACTGCAATTCACTGAGCCTAATTCACTGCAAATTTTATAGAATTTTCTTCTCCTTTCAAAAAATAAATTAATATGGACAATAATAGGTTAATATGTATCAGTGTAAAGAATCTTAGCTTTCGTTTCAAAAAGCGCATACACCTCTAGTCATGGTGGAAGTTACTGAGCTTGGGGAATTTACTGAACTTCTATAAACATAGTTTCTTTGTTTTTAAAATTAGATAATGATATCTACTTCTTAAGACTATGTTCTGGAAGAATATTGGTCAAATTTTAGTTTCTGGGCAGAAAAACCCTTTGCCAACACCACACAATTAATGGTTTTGTCTTATTTTTCTTGCTTATGGAAGATAAGTGAAATTAACAAATCCTGACTGATTTCTATTCCGCCAAAGTGAGTCACATCAAGAACTGTGTGGGGCTTTCCCAGAAGATAAATTCCACACTTTGTAACAAACGTAACAAGGTGTCCCTGCTTCATGTTTGAAATCGCTACTTAGTAATCGAGAGGCCTACTACCGGCTTCCCTGCGCGGGAAGCAAGGGCGCCACAGGAGCCTCCAGGCTGCAATCGCTTCTGCATCCAGTTACTAACACTGGAGGCCAGAACATCTCATGGAAGGACAGCCGCCAGGGAAGGCAAAGCTCTATGCCTCCCCCCAGACCCACTCCCCCCAACATGGGCAAGTTGAGGGGCTGAAATCATTGTGGGTAAAATCGAAGTATATTTTTTAAATTCGAGTTGAGTAGAAATCAACAGAATCAAGAAAAATCCTTTAACTTGTCTTGGCTCACAAAGTCCCAAAATGTCTGCCTCTTTGCTCATTTTTGTTAAAGGAAAAAGCTAGACAAAATAAACTTAACAGAATTTGAGCAAAGGACAATTTATTAATCAGGCAACGCTCAAACCTGGAAGAGGTTTCACAGAGCGCCACTCCAGCTGAGAAGTGGCGAGCTTTCACGGGCTGAGTGGGAAGTAAATACATTACTTGACTGGCGGCAGCTAAGTGCTTGCCTTATGCAGGCATGGTCTGGTGGGCGTGCCTGGTTACAGAGCGGTCAGCAGGTCTGCTGTATGTGACTGGCGGAGGCTCTTCCCCCATCCCCAAATTCAGAGGCAAAAAGTGCCAATAAGTTTCACTTGCTTACAGTGAGGGTCTGGGCACGACCTCAGGCTAATGACCTCAATTCTTATTTGCTTTAACATTTTAAAATAGCAAAAAGACAAGGGTCATTCTGAATCAGACAAGATCTGAAAGCAGAAGACTTACAGAGTTCCTAGCTCAGGGAAGGCACATAATTAGGCGTTAAGGGAAGGGTGGGGGCTTTCCTCTCTGGCTTGTTACTAAGGCAGGAGTGAGTGAACACAGCTTAGCAAAGCCAGGCACCATTCAACCAGCCAACTGTCCTACTTAAAGGAGCTCTCAAGGTGCAAGCCCTTAGCAGTAAGACAGTTTAGCTTGCTCTAATCTAGTTCAGAGAATGTACTACCAACTATGACACAATCTGTCAAATGCATGGATCAAATAGAAAGCTGAAATTTGTTTGTGGGGTCAAGACATACTGAAACTCTGTTTATCCTTTTGACCTCCAGCGACCTCTGCCATAAACTCAGTAACCTCTAGGTCAAAAGAGAATCCAAAAGTGCCTCAACTATCTCAGAGGGCAACACAAACCCCAAAAGATCTCATAGGACCCTCTGACTTACCTAATTCATTCCTTTCTCTCTATTCTTTCTGACACAATATGGTGGCATGTAGTTTTGCGTGATCACATGCAAAGATCATCAATGTCTATTTATGCAGCAGCATATATATCCACAGATAAAACCTGCCTTGGGGAATGTGAGCAGCTGTCAACAGCTGCCTCCAACTGACTTTGCTGCTTTAGATAGCTCCTCACCTTCTCTGCTGTTGTGAAAGTGGCTTGCGTGTGCATAGGACCAGCAAGCCTTCCAAGAATATAATCTGCCCTGCAAACCAATAGATTTTTAAAAAACAATGAAACTTCTGCTAGTAGATGACAGAGTCGGAGTGTCAACTCAATTCATTAGAAAGTTTGTGTTTTAAAATTCTCCCAGCCTATTTAAAAGATGTGAAGCTGTCAGATCGTGAACTCCACCGTAGTCTTTTCTCTGCTAATGAGTCAGCCACTGTAGTATTCTTAGAGGTGGAGTCATTGTGGAAGTGGAGAGAAATTACCTTCGTATATGTCAAAGTTTGTCAAATATCTCAAAATCTAGGGAATAAAGATGGCAGAGAAACATTAAATTCAAGACAAATATAGAAACTTGACAATAAAGCCTCCTGAGTTGCAAATCTTTTGCCTTCATAATCTGCCAAAGCTCAAATTTTGGAAGCCCAATATACTGAGGACATGATTATGAAAATACACTTTGCTCGTTGCAAGAGAAACTTCAAATTCACCACCCCTATCTCACTCCTATCCGTAACCGCCCCTCTTGCCCACTTAAACCTCAGGGAAACAAACGAAGGCCAGCAGAACAAAGTGGGGTTAGATCGCCCAGTCTGCTAAAGCCCCTGAGGTGGAAACTGTGTTCACATTAGAATCTGCACCCTGATTCTCTATCTCACTGTCAGGGCCCTTCCTGTCCTTGCCTGGCAGCATTCACCAAGGCACTTTAAAGAGGGCAATGTCTCTGGGCTGCTGCCAGCAGATAAGCACCTTGTTTTACACAGGCTGGCTGGGGCAGCGGGTGTGACCCTCTTGCACTGCACAAAGGCAGCCTGGATAATAACAAATTGCCTTGTCAACCACAACAGATACTTAGTTATTAATGGAAATAATAACAGATTATATCAGCTTTGTACACTGTAATCAAAAGGAAGATCAAAGGGAACTAATATTACAAACAGTTAACAGTGAAGACATGCTAATGAGATAAAAACCACTTTCATCTCCTCCCTTCCTCAAATGCACCAGTGGAATAATTATTGGTAACAAATGATGTCATTTAAAGTTAGACAATGGTTTTAATATCAAAACTATAGCCACACCAGTAAGCCTTTTTCAAAATAAAATTGTTTTCAGTGTTAAAAAAATACTTAATTGCATCGGGCTGGTGTTATAGGAATACATGATTATGAACCATCTGATTTCAGCTGGTTCAGGCTAAACTCCCTTTGCCTTTGGTTGTGGCTGCAAAGAGCCATTTTGGGTTGTTAACAATCAATGCAGAACACAAAGCCTGATGAGCCCTTCCCTGGCTTGTCATTTAGGGGGATCGCTATCACAGTAGAGTACTTTTCATACTTACCCAATCTTCCTCACCAATTAAGTCAGCCCTTTACTTCTTTGAAGCATTATACAAATATTAGTGTGTGCCAAGGCCATTCTCAGGAGGTAGAGAGATATTTTTTATCATCTTTCCTTCTACAGAGAAACTGACAACAACAACAACAAAAAATCACTGACCATGGGTCATTTTATTCTTACAAAGTCTTAATTTGAAATTTCACTTCAAATTATTGCATTTGCATCATTCCATAACAAGCACACAATATTTGTGTGTTAATTTATATATCTTACCAAGAATATGTAATATTCCAGACTTTCTTTATAAAAATGAAAGTAAGGTGTCTAACACATATGGAAATAGCTGGTCAAGGACTCATTCAGTTATAAAAATCTTAGAATGGGGACCATAGACTGGACTTACCTACCCAGGAATGATGGTAAAAGTCAAAAGCCCCTGGATAGATCATTTGCTTATTTTATGAACTTGAAGATATCAATAAATACATTTAATTTCAAAGTCTTTTTTTTTAATTTGGGGAAAATAATTATTAACCTTTCATTATCAGAAGTGTAAAGGTAAGTTAGAATATTTCCCCTTGTGAACTGTAAAACATGCTATGTAAGTATGAAATTATGGTGTAATATTCTTTACCAATTATAATAGTAACCATGTTTTAAAAGTAGCTTATTTTTACTTTCCATACAAAGTGGAGTACAGAACAACTGCAGGAGAAAATCAGAAATCTTTCTGGAAAATGAAAAGCAAAAGGATTCTCAGTGAGGGAAAGAAATCAGAGGGGAGGGAAGGAATCTTAGTAGAAAATAAAAACAGATGGTTGCAGAGGAGGGGAAAGTTATTTTCCCAGGCAGAGTTCCAGGAATGCTCTAAGATCTACACTGGCAGGTGTGGGGAGCATGACTAGCTCTGGGTCAGAAAAAGATAAATTATAAAGATTACGCTTTATGAAATATTTGGGCCATGTTTCCTACCTCCTCTCCTCCTGCCCTCGATCCCTGCCTATACAGTGAGACCATTGACAGCAGTGCGTGCACGGTGGAGAAAGGAAGGCCTGTCAAAGGACAGGCGAACCTGTTTGAAAGCCAACTACAGAGCAGTTTGAGCATCAATGTAAATAATTCTTGAAACAGATTATAGTTACTTGAATAAAATAGAAATACATGAGCCCACACTGATATAAATAAGTAAATAAATGAAAAATGAGGGAAATGTCCACCAACAAGTAAAATGCCAACTAATATTAATTAATAAATAAATTTTCTTCTTCACTAACCTTAGAGTGGAAAAACCGGCCAAATGCCATCTTAAACATGTGATAAAACTTAATGCTGCCAGTAAGGAGACAGATTGTCATTGTATGTCTTTTGATGTGGAACACTTGGAGGAACTCTTACAGTATTCCTGCCAAAGTTATCCAGTTGGAATCTAATCATGGGGACGCACTACACAAACCTAGGCTGAAAGACACTTGACAAAATAACTGGCCTACACTATTCAAAACATCAAGGTCAGAGAAAACAAGCAAATGATTTTTCAAATTGAAAGCTAACAAAGATATTTGACAGATAAACACTATAAAAGATTTTGGATGGAATCATCAAACATTTAAGAGTATTTTTGGGACAAACAGCAAAATGTGCATGGGTCTTTGAATTAAAAGGCAGTATTAATCTCATGTAGATTTTCTTATTTTGATGGTTACAGTGTGTTTTTTAGGAGTACATGATTGTTTTTAGGAAATAAAATATCCTTGTTTTTAGGTAATGAGCACTCATGTTTGCAACTTACACCCAAGTAAAGTGGTCAGAAAAAAATAGCAATATGTATAGGGTAATAAGAAAAATGTGGCAGGGTGTTAATAGCAGCGAACCGGGTGTTATGGACTGAATTGGTCCCCCCAAATTCATGTGTTGAATTTCTAAGCCCCAATACCTCAGAAGGTGACAATATTTAGAGATAGGGCTTTTAAAGAGGTAAGGTTAAATGAGGTCATGTGGGCCCTATCCAATCTGGCGGGTGTCCTTATGAGGATAAGCAGACTCGTGGGCTAGAGAAGAGGGCACGCAGAGGAAGGGCCACGTGAGGACACAGAGAACAGGAAGCCACCTACAAGCCAAAGAGACGGCCTCAGGAGGAATCAAACCTGCGATATCTTGATCTTGGACTTCTAACCTCCAGAACTGTAAGAAACAAATGTCTGCTATTTAAGCCGCCCAGTCTGTGGTATTTTGTTATGACAGCCATAGCCAACTCATACACTGTGTGTAGTGTACACAAGCATTCTTTGTATTTTTTCATATATTGTTTTATCTTTATTAAGGTATGATTTATGTATGGTAAAAATGCAGAGATCCTAAAGTATAGTTTGTTGAGTTTTGATATTTATTGTGTTTTAACATAAGGACCATACTTTGTAAACCTGCTTTATTCATTTAACAATGTATCTTGAATATCTTCTCCATCTGTCCCATTTATTGTTATTTTTTTCACTGACAAATCATAATTATATACATTTATGGTATACAATAAGATATTTGATATACACACACACACAAAATGTGGAATGATTAAATCAATGTAAGTAACATACCCATCACCTTGCTTATCTATCACTTTATGTGTTGAGACATTTCAAATTTACTCTTATTTTGAAATATATGATACATTATTATTGATGACAGTCACCCAGCTGTGCAACAGATCTCAAAAGCTATTCTTCCTGTCTATCTGAAGCTCTGCACCCTTTGGTCAAGAGCTCCCCCCACTGTCCCACAGCCTTTGATAACCCTCATTCTCTCTGTATTTTTATGAGTTCAACTTTTTAGATTCCACAGGTAAGTGAAATGATGCTGTTTGCCTTTCTGTGTCTGACTTATTTCACTTAACATTCTGTCCTCCAGACTCATCCATATTGTCACAAGGGTTAAATAGTATTCTATTGTGAAAATATGTCACATTTACTTTATTCATCCATTGATGGTCACTAAATCTGATTTCATATTTTGGCTATTGTGAATAATGCTGCAAAGAGCATGGGAGTGCAGGTATTACTGGTTTGTATGATACATGGTAGATGAAACAAATAGCCCACAGCAGGGAAGAAATACTTGCAAATGATACATCTTATAAATAGTTAAAAAAACACAAAATATATAAGGAATTCAAACAACTCAATAGCAAAACAAAAACAAAAACAAACAAAAAACCCCACAAACACACACAAAAAAATGAGAAAAGGACCTGAACAGGCATTTTTGAAAACAAGACATACAAATAGCCAACAGGAACATTTTAAAATCTGCTCAGCATCCCTAATCATTAGGGAAATTAAAATTAAAACTGCAATGAGATATCACTTTGTATTTGTTAGAATCTCTTAACAAAAGATGGAAGATAAGTGTTGGCAAGAAAGCAGAGAAAAGGGAACTCTTGCACATTATTAGTGGGAATGTAAATTAGTGCAGTCATTATGGAAAAAATTATGGAGGTTTGCAAAAAAACTAAGGATAAAACTACCATACAGGCTTTCTTTGTAGCATTTCTGTAACTTTTTTGTTTGTTTGTTGAAACAGAATCTTGCTCTGTTGCCTGGGCTAGAGTGCTGTGGCATCAGCCAAGCTCACAGCAACCTGAAACTCCTGTGCTCAAGCCATCTTCCTGCCTCTCAGCCTCCCAAGTAGCTGGGACTACAAACATGCGCCACCATGCCTAGCTAATTTATATAAATATATATATATATACATATTTTTTAAGTTGTCCAGCTAATTTCTTTCTATTTTTTTTTAGTAGAGATGGGGTCTTATTCTTGCTCAAGCTGGCCTCGAACTCCTGCACTCAAGCAATCTGCTGCCTCAGCTTCCCAGATGGCTAGGATTACAGGCATGAGCCACCACGCCTGGGCGTGATTTCTGTAACTCTTATAAGACTCTTTTTTTTTTTTTGAGACAGAGTCTCACTTTGTTGCCCAGGCTAGAGTGAGTGCCGTGGCATCAGCCTAGCTCACAGCAACCTCAAACTCCTGGGCTCAAGCGATCCTCCTGCCTCAGCCTCCCGAGTAGCTGGGACTATAGGCACAACCCACCATGCCCGGCTAATTTTTTCTATATATATATCAGTTGGCCAATTAATTTCTTTCTATTTATAATAGAGACGGGGTCTCGCTCTTGCTCAGGTTGGTTTAGAACTCCTGAGCTCAAATGATCTGCCCGCCTCGGCCTCCCAGAGTGCTGGGATTATAGGCATGAGCCACCGTGCCCGGCCTCTTATAAGACTCTTAATTGAAACTATTTTAAAAATCAAAATAAAAGCTAAAAATTAAAAAAAAAATGCATGTACATATAATCAAACATAGAAACAAAAATACGTATCCATAAAGTATTGCTAAATCTAAAAACAGCTAGTCACAGAGCAATATGATTCAATTTTTGTTGGGATATAAAGAAAGAATATATGAGATATATTTGCATTAAAAATGCCTGAAAAGACACATTATACAATGTAAAACAAGGATTATTTCTAGGCAATGGAGTTAACAAACATTGAGATAAATGAAAGCATTTTCTTTTTACCTTATATGTTTTTGTGATTTTCAGAGTTTTTTTCACAAAGAAAATGTATATGAATATATATGTATATAGACTTATACATATATATACATATATATACAAAAATTCATGTGTAGATGTTGGCAATCCAGAATGAAATCATCTTATATTGCTATCTAAGGTGAAGGTGAGGCATAACCAGCCTATCCTGTCTCTGTCCTCACACTCTAACATACCAGTCAACATGGCCTGTCCACGGTCATGAAGCATCTAGCAGCAGCTATGTTATGCAAATGTATACATATATGTATATATATACAATGCCACATTATCTTTTAAAATGTTCATGCCAGCCAGCACTATCCAAGGATTTAGCATTCTCCTGACTCAGGGTAATGTGACTATAATACGTGTGTGTGTGTGTGTGTATTTCAGAGATATTTTCAAAACATATTGTATCCATAAAACAAGAACAGCCTACTGTGAAAAAAGAACAATGGAGAAAAATAAGTATTTAAAATGTAAAGTGCAACTGCTAAACTAAAAACAACAAAACAGCAACTAAAGTTGGAAGATAAAGTAAAGTTTCCAGGACATAGCCCCAAAAGTGACCTCAAAGAAAAAAGAAGATAGCAAACATGAAATAAAATTTAAGAGACATAGAGGGGACCAGTATAGGATCTCCAAAGTCTAATAAGAGGTGGAGAAAACGAGATAAAGAGAGGAAGGAGGGCAGGAAAGGGGTGGGGAACAATGAGCAGTAAATGAAAGGAAGATAAATTAATATAAAAGTAGAAAATGATTTTCTAGATTGAAAAAAGACATCAATTTTCAATCACTTGAATTACTTTAAGGAATAAAATAATGTCTTTTGCAGTAACTTGGATGGAACTGGAGAATATTAACCTAAGTGAAGTATCTCAGGAGTGGAAAAACAAGCACCACATGGTTCTCACTGATAAGTGGGAGCTTAACAGTGGAACAGGTGGTCATGAAGTGGCGTAAAGGACATTAGAAACTCAGAAGGGAGGAGGTTGGGAGGATGTGGGATAACAACTCACCTGTCAGGTACAATGAACACTATACTGGTGACCAGCACACTAAAAGCCCCAACTCCAGCATTATATGGTTCATCTACATAACAAGAACATTTGTATCCCTTAATATTTTGAAATAAAAATTATAAAAAAAGAAACTAAAACCAACTATAGGCATTCTGACAATCTACTACTATATATTTCAGTATACTTCTCTAAAATAAGAACATTTTTCAACATGGCCAAAAATTTTTCTCCCCTAAAAATTAATAATTTCTTTATATAATCTAATAACACATATATTCATATAAAATTTTCTCAATTGTCCCAACATATTAGACACATAGAGATTTACATAGGTCAAGTCTCATTTTTCACAGTAATTATGTTTTATAAAGTCACAGTGAACACTGAATTAGCAAATACTAAATTATTCCTATTTTTCATAGCAGAAATAGAAGGTTAGATTTCCTCCAGTCACATTCTAGTCAACTGAAACAGCATTTGTGTCACACAGGTTATTTTGCCAATGTCCTTTTAAAACAAGCCTGTCTTGTCAGCATAAGAAACCTGGTTTTCCACGTAATTGCTTTCCTATATAATACTTAGCAAGTTTTTTTTTTTTTTTTTTCAAAATTCTTCCGCAGCGGCCTGATCTGCAGAACCTGTCTCCCCTGGTTCTGCAGCCAGCACTATCCAAGAAGGATTTAGCATTCTCCTGACCCACAGTAACATGACTGTAATTTTCTTCAGCGTTCAGCCGCTCAACAATGCTCTCCCCTACATATTTTTTATGCTCACCACATGACTTCACACATTTAGCCACTTTGCCATTTTTCCATAGCTTCATTATGCACTATAGATATTATATTAACACTTTCCAGAATAGCTTCACGTGCAGATCAGCAAATTTCCTCTTTCTCTTTCTAGGTAGGTGTAGCATATTGTTGATTCATTAACATTAAACTCAGGGCCAACAGCCTTATATCTTATGCCTGAATAAAGCTTATCTAACACTTTTTCTCCATAAGGCACATCACGGCCTCCTGCGCCTAGACCACTAGACAGCACTGAGCACTACACTTGGGGCACATGAATGTGGAAAGTATGGCACCAAATAAACTACAAAAAGGATATTTGTGTTAGAGTGTAAGAGTTTAAACAAGAAGGCAGAGCATTGCCTTGTTTGACCTCAGCTGGATATGTGCATGTGGGCAATGCAAATTTTTCACAGCTTTGTGCACATCTATGAATGAAGAAAAAGAACTACAAATATTGATTTTGGGTTACAAATAAACTTATCAAATTTTTGATATATATATATATATATATCTTCTCAAACCAATTCAACTCAGGCTTCAATATGGTATGGTGTTGAGCAATTAATAAACTGTAAGATTTCAAGTGATATTGGACAGCATTTACTTTTTTAACAGCTCAAATTATAACACTTCATTCTGCAACTGGTAGCATTCACATAAACATAATTCTGTAAATATCATTTATTGGCTTTTAATGTTAAAATCAACATACAGACAAAACACAAATGCCCTAACTATAATATAAATGTTATGGAATAGACAATGTAAGTTCTAACTCACAAAAACTGGGTGATGGGCAAGAGAGGACAGTTAGAGAAAAGGTTAGGGGCCCAACAGTTCTCATTTAGCCTACTTGGAAGTCAAGGTAATTTGTGTAAGTTCTAGGTCAAGACACATAAGCTAACCTGGAATACCAGAGTCTTCCATTTTCAGCAACATCAGTTTAGATAATATGACCCATCATCCATCTGAAACAATCATGAGTAGATAAGCTGACTAAAATACACCATGAAAAATATTTTGAAATGTATCGATGAGTTGGAAAGGAAATAAATACTTAGAAATCGAAAACTAAATGAAAGCAAGACTCTGACAGAGGCCATCAGAGCACTGAGGCTGGCCTTCCCATAAGGCCGTTTGTTGAAAAAGGCGGGTTTTGATGGTGACCTTTAACGCCCGCAAGGTGCAGCAGACGGATGGAGCCCAGGGCTGGGAAATGGGCCTGTCATAAACACACCCAGAGGGCTGAGCCCAGGCAGTTCTGGATTTTGTGAGTCTCCGAGGCTTATATAATTTTAAGGTTTGTTTTAAAGGAAAAAAAGAATACAACATGGCAAATGTGAAGTTGGTCCTGCACAAGTAAGGGCTCTGAGGTTTGGGCTTTATTGGCTTCAGAGAACCTCCTCTGACTCAGTGCTGCAGGGGCTAGAGGAATTAACAATGAACTACCAGGGGAGCTCCATGACAAACTGTCTTTTTTTAGGAAGTCATAATATCAAATTGGCCTTTTTAAGGGCGTAGGTGGTCAAAAATATATATCAAGTGAGAATTTAAAGGGTTTTCAAGTTGGTTGTGCTTTTACTTCTCTTACAAAAGCACTTTCAATCAATGTTAGCCCAAACTGGGCAGTGATACTTGGAGTGCAAATCGGTTCTAAAAAAGATTACAAGACAGAATAGGTATAATAAATAACTCTTCAAAATAAATAAATAAATGAAATAGGGAAAAGCATCATAGACAGGAACATGTCAATAGCAAATAAATATATTAAAAGATGATCAAAGTCATTAACATTTAGGAAAATAAAAATTAAAAATTATTATACCCAGAGTAGTCAAACTCATGAGGCAAAAAGTACAAAGGTGGCTGTCAGGGGTGCTGGAAAGATAAAATAGGAAGCTAATGTTTATGTGTACAGAGTTGCAGTTTTACAAGATGAAAAGACCTCTGGAGATGGTAGTGATGGTTGTGCAACAAAATGAACATACGTGTGATGCCACTGAATTGAAAACTTACAAATGATTAAGATAGCAAATTTAATGTTATGTGTATTTGGCCATAATTAAAAACTTAAAAGAAGTCAAAACTAAGCTGAGATACCTTCATTTGTAACGAAAGCCACAATATAAAATTCCGACAAAAGTCCTCACAACAAAACCTCACACACTTCTGATGGGAATACAAACTAACTTTTTATTTTTATTTTATTTTATTTTTAAAATTTTGCCTTGGGAGAATAATTTATTATCGTCTGGTAAAGAAGATGTATATACCTTAGGACACATGCATTGAACTCCTAAAGCAATGGTTTTTAACTACAGATCTGTTACTAGGCTGTGAAATTATCCTAACGGGTAATAACCAGAACATTTTTTTAAAGGATAGAATGACAGTATCACAGGTAGTAAGCACAGGTATGATTTTTGATTCTTGTATTTGTGTGTGTGTGTACCAGGACTGTGATACTGTTACAGCAAGTGTTACAGTGGGTGGTCCTGAGGACAAACCAAGCAGTACATGGAGAGTTGGAGAATTGAAGTTGGAGAATCAAAGTTTATTCGCCAGCGAGCTCAGAGGGGCCTCACCACCAAATTCTGAGCACCGTCAACCTGATTTTTCCCACTTTTATTAAGTTGGGGTGGTCCAAGGGGTGAGGTATGAGGTATAGGTTAGTTGATGTGTCAGGTAACAGGTTAGTATTATGTTGATGTGCCAGGATTTAGTGTTATGCTGATGCCAGGCAATAGACTAGTTGATGGGCCAGGAAACAGGTTAGTATTTTGCTGGTGTGGGTCTTCCTTGAGTGGTGGGGCTCTCCAGTACCTGATGCACCAAGTAACAGATGGGGGCTTCCCTTATCAATATAAATCATTTTACTTACTATGAGTCATTTTGAAATGACTGAATAATATTGCCCTTGAGAAGGGGTTGCCAAACTATGGCCCCAACCAAACCTAGCCTGGGGAATGTTCTTGCATGGCCCAGGAGCAGAAGATGGATTTACATTTGAAAGAGGTTGCAAAAATCAAATAACAAAAAAGATAAAATGAGTACAGAACAAAGACAGTGTGTGGCCTGCAAAGCTGAAGATATTTACTACCCAGCTCTTTATAGAAAAAGTATCCCAATCTCAGCCCTATAGAAATTCTTGTGCACAAGGAGATGTGTTCAAGAATAGACACTGCAGCATTATTTGTTTTAGTAAAAACACTGGTATTAATGCAAATGAGGATGAACAGAATAGGTATATAAATTATTTTTTTCATATAAAGAAATTTTATACAACAGGAAAAATGAGAGAATGATAGCAACATGTAACCACCTGGATAAACCTCACAGACAAAAAGTGAACAGAAAAGGCAAGTTGTAGTAAAACACCTTCAGTGTAAGTCTATGTATGCCAAGTTAAGAAGCATGAGAAAGAAAGAACATGTTATTCACAATTATAAATATTTGGTAGAACTATAAATTAAGTAAGAGAATAATAAACATATTCAGAATGGTGGTTCTGAAGAGGTCAGATACGGAATAAGATTGGGGACATGTGAACTAAAATTGAATCTTGAGGCTCACCCAACCAGATGACTGAACGGACCCCCTCCATGACAAACTGTCTTTTTTTAGGAAGTCATAATATCAAATTGGCCTTTTTAAGGGTGTAGGCGGTCAAAAATATATATCAAGCTAGAATTTAAAGGATTTTCAAGTTGGTTGTGCTTTCACTCAATGGCCAAGGGGATACTCTAAAACTGAGTTGCCAGCCATGAGGATGGAGGTCAGACAATCCTCATCATGCCCCGTCCCTTCTTGGAGACATTCTTTGTAACTCATTAACAGGCCTAAGGCTATGCAAGACAAACCTGTAGGTCCTCAACATACAGAACAAATCACTTGAGTCTGGGTATAGGGCCCAGTGGCTTGTCTTTGATTAACAGACCTCCTTATCTTAACTTAAAACATTCCAAGCTTTTAGCCAAAGCTTCATTTCTTTAACCAATTACAAATCAAACCTATCCACCTATAACCTGTAAGCCCCATTTTGAGATGTTCCACTTTTTTTTTTTTTTTTCCTGAGACAGAGTCTCGCTTTGTTGTCCAGGCTGGAGTGAGTGCCGTGGCGTCAGCCTAGCTCACAACAACCTCAGACTTCTGGGCTCCAGTGATCCTTCTGCCTCAGCCTCCCGAGTAACTGGGACTACAGGCATGCGCCACCATGCCCGGCTAATTTTATATATATATATCAGTTGGCCAATTAATTTCTTTCTATTTATAGTAGAGACGGGGTCTCGCTCTTGCTCAGGCTGGTTTTGAACTCCTGACCTTGAGCAATCCGCCCGCCTCGGCCTCCCAAGAGCTAGGATTACAGGCGTGAGCCACAGCGCCCGGCCAAGATGTTCCACTTTTTGAGCATTGCCTATCAGAGAAACTAAGTTTTACAAAATTAATTATTTCTTTGGGCATATAGGCTATTAAAGATAGATTTACCAAACCTATTTTTGAAAGCCATAGCTATACAGACATACAGCACACATACATACACACATCTTCGCATATACATACTGATATACACAAACATGTATAAATGTGTGTGTGTAAAACAGCAGTCACTGTGCTTTAATAGGAACTTTTCTATGGGTAAAGAATGTGTAGGAATCCTTTCTCCACCAAGAAAATTCAGGAAGATTGAATAAATGAAGATTAATGTGACTTACACAAAACTATCTGTGGCTCTTCCTTGGATGAAAATGCTTACATGTAGGGAAAACAAAGTATAGTCAGTAAAATACAATATGGTGCTGATTACTTAGAAAAGTAAGAAAAGTTATTTTTAATCTTGGAAACCAAGCTACAGAGAGAATCCCCAAATACCTGTTTTTCCAAGGATCAAAAACCATATAACACATTTAGATAACACACACCCGTGTGCAAATGTTGTAATACCTTATTTCTTGAAAACAAACAGAAAAGCCTCATTCTACCCTCCATCCTCCCGGGCCTCGGCCACTGCCCAGGGCCCAGCACCCCTCAGAGCAGCCCCCGCTGCGCCCCGCGCGCTCCGCGCCTCTCCCGCGCCTGCTGGCCGCTGCGCAGCGCCCTCCCCGCGCCCGCGGGCAACCGCCCGCCCAGGCAGCCCGCAGCCTGCGAGCCCGGCGGGCGAGTGGGGCGCTCCTCCTGGCCGCTCCGCAGCGGCCTCCTCGCTCGGCCTCCCCAGCCTCAACTCCAGGGGCTGCCAGAACTCAGCCCCGACCCTTCCCGCGACTTACCAGTGGGGGGGGGGGGCGCGCGCCCGCATTTGCACTCTCGGCGAACGGTGTATTTGCGCATGGGTCCCCCACAGCGGGAGGCCGGGAGTGGGACTCTGCTGTCCCCCCAGCGGTCCGCTGCCTGCGCTGAGGCCACAGGTGCAGTCAGGGTAGCTGCCCTCTGTGAGTTTTAGTAAATGTTTTTGTCCTTCATTCCTTCCGGTCTAAGAGAGATTATGGCTCACACTGTCACTAGCCTTGGGGCAACATACATCCAACTTTGTAAATACTTTGCTGTGAACGCTTTCTTCATTATCCGGTCCTGACCTCACATTACCCTGCTTAAGTGTGGCCTTTGTTTCCCGCTAGAGTGCGGACTGATGCATCTGTGTTGTGCTGTAGGTAATTCATTTTCAGTATTGTATAATATTGTTATTGTATGAATACACCAGAATTACCATTGAGCTGTGAATGTATATTTTAATTTTTAAAAATTTTGAAAATTAAAAAATAATTTCTATTGGAAATGGTGCTGCTATGATTATGCTTTTATATTATTTCTATAAATGTGCAAAATTTTCTCTAAGGTATACATCCACAAGTGCAATTGCAGGATTACAAGAGTGTGTGTGTGTGTGTGTGTGTGTGTGTGTAACCATTTTTCAAGATTGTATCACACTGCTTTACAAATAATATCTATTTACAATCCCAATAGTAGTGTAATACTGTTAGAGACTGACCTTCCACAGCCCCACTGGACAGAAAAGCAGAGACATCAAGGACGCAATCACACAAGAGGAGGTTTGTTTTCTGGCTAGCCAGGGTCCAAGCCCCAGAGCACCAACGCAGTGGCCACTCTCGCAGGCAAGGACCCCGACTGGGGTTGCAGCGTGCCTTTTATCCCTATGGTGCATACGCTATGCAGTGGCTGATCACGCGTGGATCATGCATTGACCTTTAACATGATTGGGTTGGCTGGTAGCCCCACTAGACAGGGGTTCAAACAATGCAAAGTTGGCGCAAGCAAGCAAGCAGCAGTTTCCATGGTGCAGGCAAACAAGCAAGTTTCTAGAAGTGGACGTCTCGGTTAGCCTTCCCGGATGCTGCTTCTGGCTTCACTCGGGGCGCGGGGCCTTGCAGGTGTGCAATGACTCAACCCCTCACATTCCCCCCTTTCTTTAGAAGCTGGTCGAGCACTCTTGCTCGTCTCTTGGGTCTCCTAAAGGTTCCAAGTCTGTGCTACCTGACCAGAGCTTCTGATACTGCTGCTGCAACACTAGAAGCTGTACTGTATTAACCCTTTCTTTTACAAAGGTTATTATCTTAGGGAACACTAACACTATTATACAGTAATCTTTAGACCCATGTAAGGTCATGGGGTTGGTGGGGGTTTGGGGCAGTAAGTACAGCTGTAGGTCTCTATCTCAAAAACATTAGACCCACAACAACCAACCCCCACCGCGACTCATCCATGTTTGTCACCAAGTTCAATCCTTAGATGCCACAACCCCAGTCCAAGTCTGTGTCAGCAGTCCTGGGCTGTCGCCACGCGGGTCAGTCTGCTCTTCAGAGGATTCTTCGGGTCTGCAGTCGCTTTCCACTGGTCCTGGCACCGCTCCTGGTCTTTTTATTAGCAGGTCTCACGTGGGAGTGGTGTATCCAGGTCGCTATTCTATCGACCTTAAGAGCAGTGGGGGTAACAAGAATAATTTGATAGGGGCCCTTCCACCTCGGCTCGAGGGTTCTGCTGTTATGCCCTTTCACCCACACCCAGACCCCTGGCTGGTGTGGGTGAAACGGGTGTCCGGCACCCTCCTCCTCAGGCTGGTAGATAGCACGGAGGGCCGGCCATACTTGACTGTGGACACGTTGCAGAGCCTGCACCACTTGTAACACTTCTTTGGGATGTCCCGGAAGAGCCTCAGGGCTCATCCTAGGAACTATAGGAGGGGGTGTGCCGTACATGATTTCAAAAGGGGTTAAACCCAAGTGATAAGGGGTGTTCCGGGCTCGGAACAGGGCGAAGGGAAGGAGGGTCACCCAGACTCCGCCAGTCTCCAGGGCCAATTTAGTCAGGGTCTCCTTTATTGTTCTATTCATTCGCTCTACCTGCCCAGAGCTCTGGGGATTATATGCACAATGTAATTTTTAATCTATCCCCATAGCCTGGGCCAGCCCTTGACTAACCTGACTGACAAACGCAGGTCTATTATCTGATCCTATCCCTTCTGGCAGTCCATACCTGGGGACTATTTCTTCTAATATTTTCTTAGCTACTGTCAAAGCTGTTTTTCTCCTTTCGTAGGGAAGGCCTCGACCCACCCGGAGAACGTATCTACCATGACCAGCAAATACCGATACCTATATTTTCCGGGCTTTACCTCTGTGAAGTCTTCTTAAAATAGTCCTGGCTGCCTCCCCCTTTCCCTCGTACCTGTGTGGGTCCCTCTGGTCCTCCCCGACTGCACGACCTGACAGGCTCGGCAGCCTCTGACAATGTTATCTGCAACCCGTCCTTGTGACTTGAACCTGAGTTGAGCAGTGTCTAGCAGCTGTAGCATTTTTCTCTTCCCTAGATGCGTGGTCTGGTGTAGGTGCTCTAACAGGTGGCGTCTTAAGGTCTCTGGCACTATTAGGCGATGCCCTTTGTCCCGAAACCAGCCATCCTCGCCTTGTGTTGCAGTGTCCAGCAGCTGTTCCGTAACCCAGGCTTCGTACCGTCCCAAAGGCATAGCGGCTATCGGTGTCATCTACTATGGCCGCCCCTGCATACCTGTGTCCGTCCCGGACAAAACTGCTTCCGTCCGTGAACCAGGTCAGGTTGCTGCTTGGAAGGGGGCGATCCTTCAGGTCTCTCCGGGCCATCTGGGTTTCAGCCAGGATCTCAAGGCAGTCATGCTCAGGCGTGGCTGAATTGGGACCGGGCAGAAGCATGGCCGGATTCAAGGCGACAGGTGTTCAGAACTCAATGTGGGGGGGGGGCGTACAACAGAAGCCCCTGGTAGTGTGTCAGCCTCGCATTTGTGATCCACCGTCCCGGTGGCTGCTTCAGGACCCCCTGTACCCCTCTATGGCGTGCGGGGTGGTGATCTGCAGCCGCTGCCCTAGGGTGAGCTTATCAGCGTCTTTGACCAACAGGGCTGTGGCTGCGATTATTCGCAGGCACGCAGGCCACCCCGCCGCCACCGGATGTAATTTCTTTGACAAGTATGCCACTGGCCTTTTCCAGGGCCCTAGGGCCTGTGTGAGTACGCCCTTAGCCAACCCTTCTTCTCATCTATGTAAAGGTGAAACTCTTTGGTGGGGTCTGGGAGCGTCAGGGCTGGGGCTTCCAGCATGGCCGTTCTTAGGGCCTGGAAGGCGCTAGCCATTTGCTCAGTCCATTCCCACGCTTTTCCTGCCTTACATCCTTCATACAGGGGCCGAGCCTTCTCTGCAAATCCTGGAATCCAGAGGTGGCAGTATCCTACCCAGGAATTCCCTCAGCTCCCGGTTTGAAGTCGGGGTGGGTATTTTTAACACAGTCTGTTTCATGGCCTCGGTCAGCCATCTCTGGCCCCCCTTAATCTTGTAACCCAAATAAGTTACTTCATCTTTATAGATCTGGGCTTTCTTGGCACTGGCCCGATATCCCATTTCGCCTAGTACTCTGAGCAAGTCCTTGGTGCCCTCCAGGCAGGTCTGGGGGTCGGGGGCAGCTAATAACAAATCATCCACGTATTGTAGCAGAGTTACCCCCGGGTGGTTGGCTCGATACTCACTCAGGTCACTGTGGAGGGCCTCATTGAACAGGGTAGGCGAGTTCTTAAACCCTTGAGGCAATCTTGTCCATGTTAATTGTCCATGGATTCCTCTCTCATCATCCTGCCACTCAAAGGCGAAGATCTCCTGGCAGCGTGTTGCTATTGCCAGGCTGAAGAAGGCATCTTTCAGGTCCAAGACGGTGTACCAAGACAGCGTAGGAGAGAGAGAGCTTAACAGGGTATAGGGGTTGGGAACAGTCGGATGGATCTCTAAGGTCCTTGCGTGGACTTCCCTAAGATCCTGCACAGGCCTATAATCCTTCCCCCCTGGCTTCCTCACCGGCAACAGGGGAGTATTCCAGGCCGACTGGCATTTCCGGAGAATCCCACTGTCCAGGAGTCGCCGAATGTGGGGAATTATTCCCACCCTGGCCTCCTGAGACATAGGGTATTGCCGGACTCGGGCTGGCTCGGCTCCCGGTTTCAGTTCAATGTAAAGAGGCGGCCTGTGTTTAGCCCATCCCATACCCCCTGTTTCGGCCCAGGCCAAGGGAAACTCACTGAGCCACTGGTCCATGTCTTCACCTTTGCCCCTTATGGGCTGGTACAGTCTATATCCGTCTGCTTGTGTCAATGTGAGAACCTGGGCAATTCGGGGGCCATTGAGGAGGTTACCTTTGTTGTCAGTCACTGTCACTCCCTCGTCTTCAAAATGGATTTTAGCCTTAAGTTTGGTAAGGATGTCTCGTCCCAGTAGCGGCGTGGGGCACTCAGGGATGACCATGAAGGCGTGACTCACTTGTCCTGAGCCCAGGTCTAGTCTCCGCTGAGTAGTCCATGGATATGGCTTAGTCCCCGTCGCTCCCTGCACCCAGCTGGCCCTACTAGATAATTTTCCCGAGGTGTTGTTCAGCACTGAATGCTCGGCTCCTGTATCTATGAGGAAGTTGACTGGATTCCCCTCCACTTGTAGGGTTACCCTGGGTTCGGGGAGGGGAGCTGAACCCCATCTCCCCTATTCATCAGTCACCTGTCCTGCCATCCTAAATTT